TTCCCTTGATTAGTGAAAACAGCATTTACTTATTCATGATGCTCACTTTGCACATGTCCATGAGGACAATTGGAAATAGAATGTAAAACACTTGAACAAGTCATACATGTTTCATTAGATGCATGATGAGAATGGTTAGGGAAGGAAGATACTTGATTCGTCAAGTTTTGGTTGATAAAAAATTTGAGATAATGATTTCATTTCGGCGGCAATTTCATTAGAGTGATCGACTTGATGTAAGCCAACACTCTTCTTACCACTAAAATTTCTACCATTCTTTGAAGATAAAGTACGATGCAAAGAATTTTCACTCATGCTCTCATAAAGACGCCACATGTCATCCTCATGCCTATCAATGTAAGAGCCACCCATGGAAGCATCAACCATGCCTTTGTAATTGTCCAATAAGCTCTCAAAGAAATATTAAACTAATTGCCATTTGGGCATGTCATGATGTGGACACTTCCTAAGCAATTCATTAAAGCATTCCCATGCCTCATGAAATGTTTCTCCATCCCCATGTGAAAATTTTCGAATTGAGGTTCTCATGGCATTATTCTTAGAAACCGGATAGTACTTCTTTAAGAACTCTTGTTGCATTTCCGCCCAAGAAGTTATTGAAAAAGGCCTAAGATTATTAAACCAATATTTTGCCTTGTCTTTAAGGGTGAATAAAAAAAGTTTAAGGCTTAAGACTTCTTCCGGTATGTCCGTATATTTTACGGTGGAACAAACTTCAAGAAACTCATCCAAATGCTTGTAAGGTTCTTCACTTGGAAGTCCATGATAATTAGGAAGCATTTGAATGGTTTGTGGCTTGATTTCATAGTGATGTGCTCTAAATGACGGCAATTGAATGCATGTGGGTGCATTATATTCATTAGGCACATAGTGATCTCGTAAAGCAAGGGGAGAATTAGCAATTGGAGGTGCAACATAGGCACCTTGGATGCCTTGAATGATGGGAGGCAGTGAAGCATAGATTGGCCTTGGCATTCCCAATGGAACTTGGCCTTGTTGTTGTGGTGGATGAACATATGGCCTTGGCATGCCTAATGGAACTTGCATGTTATCATGATGCACATTGGGGTGGAGGATACCTTGTTGGTCTATGTGACCAAGGTCCTCCACATGGTCCTCATTATGTCCTTCCATTAATGAAACGGATTGACTAGAACTACCTCTCCCCCTAGGGTTTCGAATAATGGATTCAAGATGAAAATTTAAAGGGACAAGAGTGGGTCTCAATGATCTACGACCATGCATGGACAATGCAACACAATAAGCAATAACAACAAACACTTCACCTTCACAACAAATCAATAATCAACAAACTTCGTCCACATTCAATGTTCCCATACTCCCATGCTTTAACAATATGCAAGAAAAGTAAATTGCCTCCACGCGGGCTCACGATTTATCTAAGAATTGAATTACAAGCCTCCACGCAAGCCGATGATTTAACTAAGGGATGAGTAAAGAAAAGCTCACAAAGGTCCTTTAGCACTTCAACTCCAAATTTATAGCTTAGCTTAGCAATTTTTAAATTTTTAGCATTTTTCCTTTGCTTGCTTAGCTCCTTTACTTGGAATATCCTTTGCTTGCTTCCTAGCTCAATGCTCCTTGTCAATTAAGAACAACCACAATAAGTAACAAAAATTGAAAATAAAGTAAAGACACGATCAAAAGAGTACTAATTCCTAATTGATTCCACAAATACAACATAGCCAATCAATCAATCCCCCGCAACGGCGCCAAAAACTATGGTTTCTTCTCGGGTGGTGCATAAAACAATGCACAAAACTTTGAGTTTGGAAATTAGTGTCAAGTGGGCACTATAATTTAAATTTATAAACCGCTTAACACCTATACTATATAGTATGAGTGAAAAGGGATCGTCCCAAGGGATTGAGTTGTCGTACTAGGTTGGGGAATCAACATTAGGGTTAGTAGGTCGAGTGATCAAAATAGTGGTTGGTTGGTTGAATTAAGCTAGATGCAAATTGAACTAAAGTAAGCAATAATGCAATAGAGAGAATAAAAGAGAGAGAGATCTTGGGGCTTAGAGATCACCACTAAGCATAGCTTTTCTACATCTTTAATGAATGATTAATGAGGGGAAGAACATGTATTACAATGAAGTGTGTGTGTGTGGTTGTTTCATCAAGCATGGATGACAAATTAAGCATATATTGTCTAAACAACATGGTAGATAGCACAACATATCAAATTAAGCCATTAATCCTTTCTTTAAGCTCACAATCCAAACACATCACAAGGTTAGAGATACATGTTACTTGCTTTTCATAAGTATGGAACATCAACAACAAGTATGAATTGTCCTTCCATTTAACAACTACACTACAACTAAGCCAATGACTTGAAATTAAACTAATTAAACTAAGAGAGAGGTACAATCCATCAAGCAATGAGTATGAACCATCAAATAAATCACAAGAACATGACAATAAGCACTATGTCTTGACAATCTCTAGATCCAAAACATTAACACACATAGATATGCATCAATAACACAAGAAATAGAGACAAGAACATGAACATCTATTCTAGCATACATAGACATATGGATAGAATGAAATGATCAATTGGAAGCATTAAACCACATAAATCATTAAATAAACAAGATCTATATATATATATATAAGTATCAAGACATGAATTACAATACAAATCCCTTAAAAAATACATAAATTAAGAAGTATAAAGCATGCTTAGGGCTAACTCTAGCCCCAAGAGGATGTCTAAACACTCATGGATGATGTCCTCTAACCCTCAACGGCAAGCTCCATGGAAGAAATTTGCTCCTTGGTTGATGAAGAGTCTCCAATGGTGTCTCTAGCCTCCTCCTCTTCTTTGCTTCCTCCCTAAGAGTTCTCTAAGTATGATATGATATGAGATAATACAATATGATCCTCTATGTTCTATGTTACAAAAAGTAATCCTTATCCTTATATAGGTAGGTCAAATGACACTTAAAATGAGCTGGGGTCATACAGCAAATATTCCCCAATGATTGGATAAACGACAACTTTTGTGAGCTGGAAATTAAACTTTTTCGCACTGGAGGAAGTTCGATCGATCTAACCTTGGACTTGGATCGATCGAACGTCGCTAAGATCTATCGAACTGAAGTTGGATCGATCCTCAATAGCGGTGCCTTTTTGGATAAAAACAAATCTGAGATATTTTGAAGATATTTTTGGGAAAAAGACAATAGCGATTGGTAGGGTGGTACAACTGGATAAGATCAATCATTTAGATAAGGACAAGAATGTTCGTTCGATCGATCAAAAAAGGAAGTTGGATCGATCAAACTTTTGAGATCTTTGAACATAGACAAACATGGCTCAGATCCATCTTGAAGTGCTGAGATCGATGAAAGTTGGATCGATCGAACTTTTCTTGAGATCGATCGAAGTTGCTAAAATTCCACCCTTTGCTTCCTTTTGCTCAACTTTGCTCCTTTCTTTGATTCATCCTAGAATTGCTTCAATTATGCTTTTATTTGGTTGAGTTAGCTTATTTTTGGGATAAGTATCTGAGAATGGAAATAACACGAAATCAATACAAAACGGTAAAATAAGATAGATAAAGGTTCTAAAATAACTAAGCTTAAGGGGTTTAAATACGCACTTTTCAGCGTTCATCAGCTATTATTAAATTTAAGCAACGTGAAATTTTTTCAAAATTTATAACAACCCGTATGGTATTCTAAGCAACCCATATAGTATTCTTCAAGCAATACTCATTATACCAACTATGGGGACATATATATTAACATAAATTATTTTCTTTTCTAAATAAATACTCACAAGCTCCCATAACTCTATTAGTACAAACTATCTTAACCGGGTAAAGGGTAAAAAACTTCCATATAGTTTGAAAAGTGTACAAATAACATCTTTGGCGTTTAAATCTCACCATTGTAGCATGTAAAGTGTGCAACTAAGGACTTTTCGTCCATTAAATAATAATGAAAAGGCAAAAAGACCAAAATATCCTTCACTCTACTCATAACAAAAATAATATAAAAAAATCTAATAGACAAGATTACCTTAAAGGACAAATTCAAAACCACACCCTTTTTATTTCTTTTATTTATATATATAATCATTTATATTTGTATGTAATATATGAAATATTTAATTTTATAAGAGTGGAGGGCAATTAGAGAGAGAGAGAGAGTCGTTTCAGAGGAGACAAAATATATTAAACATAGATAGAGTATTTATAGAGATAGAAATATATTAAATAAGAGTATATGTATATATATATGCACATACATTTATATTCTGTATGTAATCTATGGAATATTTAATTATAAATTTATAAGAGTGAGACAATTAGAGAGAGAAAGAGTTGTTAGGGATGAGAGAAAATATTTTAGTCATATGTTTTGTCCATATCATTTTAGGAAGATAAAAGTTCTTATTTGCTTACTTTTCATATTACACCAATAAAATTTATTATTGGTACAATTTTTAAGCTAACAATAGTGCCCTTTTTGCACTTCACCCTATCTTATATGTCTTTAAACCCAAACCTCTACCTTGAGAAAATCGACATTATACCAACTGCTTTAATTGCTGTCATATTGTAACATTGTTAGTTGTGCATTATTGAGAAAATCGACATCATACCAACCACTTCAATTGTGGTCATATTGTAACATTGTTACTTGTGCATTATTGATTGCTCTTTACTTTACTTTTCTTTTTATTGCTCTTTTTTTTTTTTTTTTTTTTACTTTTTTTTTTTTATTGCTCTTTAGTTTATCTCTTTCTAGCTTTATCCATTGTGAGACACCTTTATATAGCGCCTGCACCACTCTCGAACCCAACTATCTTCCTTGCTTGCTTCTCTCTCTATATAACTTTTTTTTCAGTGTTTTTAGCTATTTGGATCAGTTCTTTCTCTAATCAGCTGAAGCTAATCCTCAGAAGCTCAAACTTAATTTTAAAATACTTAAGAGATCCGTGATGGCTGATGAAGAAAGTTCTCATGCCTTGGGGGAAGAAGAAGAACTGTCTCAATTTGTTAAGTCTCTAGAGGACAAAATTGCCGGCAATTTAAAACAAAATCGCCTGCAATCGTTCGCTGGTGATCCCAATCTGCCTGGGGAAAGGATCCACATCATGGACAGGGTCCCCAGTGTGCTTCACCAGCAAAACGAGAACCCGTACAGCCCTACCACCATATCTATTGGCCCTCTTCACAGAGGGGCACCGCGTCTTCAAGCAATGGAGCCGGTCAAGTTGAGCTACATGTGTGCCCTACTTCAACGAACCACAACGTTCGAGGAAACATTGAGAGATTGTGCGGAGGCTATGTTGAAGTTGGAACAAGCTGTTAGGGATCGTTATGAGCCGGCCAGGTTACAGCCCTGCAACGACCAAAATTTCAGGCTTGCAGAAGTGGTGCTCATTGATGGTTGCTTCATAATCGAACTTCTGTTGAGGAATTTCAAAAACGATTATGACCCCATTTTGCGCAACCCTTTCAAGTACTATGCTATCCTTTATGACTTGCTATTGCTCGAGAATCAGATTCCTTTCTTTGTTCTTGAAGAATTGTTCAATGAGATGGTGGGAAGGATCCAAATCCAGTATCCTCCCCTTACTATATGGGTCCATCTATTCTTTGGCAATATAATGGGCCTTGAAAATTATCAAAGAAGAAACATGGAGAAGGAATGTCCTTACCATATACTCCATTTCTTGCACATTCAGTACATGCCGGCTTGTACAGGCAACACATACACTCAAAGATCCCTCGATGATGAAAATGAAATAGATAAGATGGAATGTGATGAAACAGAAAGGATGGAGAGCAAAATCATTTACTCTGCAACAGAACTTCGCTTGGCGGGAGTCAGATTGAAGGCAGCTAGTAACGATAGGAACCTATTCGACATAAGGTTTACTACTGGTTTTAGTTGTAATAGCTGCTCCACTCTGTTTGTAAAAGGTTACATAGAAATTCCACCTTTCTCTGTCTCTGATTCCACGGAGTCAGTCTTGAGAAACCTCATCGCTTTCGAGCTAAGCTGTCACTGGATTCCTAGTTACTTCACATCATTTGCGTTCCTCATGGATCTCCTCATCAATACTCCCGAAGATGTTAAATTGTTCGAGGATGCAGGAATCATACGCAATTATTTAGGTTCGAGGGAAGAAGTGGCCCGGCTTTTCAATGGTATTTGCCAGAATGCCAATCCGAGTGGTTTCCATTACACTAAGCAATACAAGCAGGCGATGGATTTCTGCACGCCTTGGCGAGTTTCTACCGGAAGGTTCAGACAATATTATTTTGGTAGTGCATGGTCAGGCATATCAGTCATTGCTGCCATCATCCTTTTCACCCTTGCGTTTATGCAGACCCTATACTCCATGCTTTCTTTTTATTAATTAGGTATCTTTGCCTTTGTTCCTATCAGTACAAGCAATCCTACAAGTGTCTGTAAGACCATATCTGAATTAGTTATGTACGTAATTATAGTCCTTATGGTTTGCCTTTAAGATAAGCTTTGTTGTTCATTTCTGTATGGGTTCTCTTAATGAAAGTGTTTAATTACCCAATTTATGTGTAAGAGCCTTGTACATTAACTACATTTGTTTTGTTTCCAAGTGAAGTATTCTTCTCATAAAATATTTTCCTTCTTCAAGTAAAATAATTTTTATTTTTTTATTTTTTTTTAGTGTTGGGCAAAGGTCTAGGTTTAGTTGGGTGGCGTGCAAAAAACTTACTAAAAATTTAAGAATAAATTATTTTTGTTAAATATTAATATTAATTTTTGTTCCTAAATATTTTAGGACAATCAACTACCAAAAAAATAAATAAATATTTTCTATAAAATATTTTACATCAGGTTTTTATTTATTTATCTATTATTATTATTTTTTTAAAAATGCCAAACAAACAAAGACTTGCCTTGGAATTCCAAGCTTGTACATTAACTACGTTTGTTTTGTTTTCACATGAAATATTTTTCTCCTAAAATATTTTTCTTCTTCAAATAAAATATTTTTTATTTTTACTTTTTTAACGGACAAAGGTTTAGATTTAGTCTATCCAGCGGGGCATGCAAAATATCTTACTTAAAATTTATAAATAAATTATTTTTGTTAAATTTTAATATTATTTTTTATTTGTAAATATTTTACGACAATCAAATATCAAAAAAATAAGAAATATATTTTTTTAAAAATATTTTACATCCAAATAAATTAAAGAGTTTTTTTTTTTTTTTTTTTTTTTTTTTTTTTTTTTTCAGTAATTCCAAACAAGCGGAGACTTGCGGTGAATATCTATTACGTGTTATTTGTTGATTACGTTTTATTTGTTGAGATGCAATCTTCTACTTTTAGATCCAAAATCTACATCCATTGGGCAGTGGAGAGGTGATAACCCTAGATATCTTACTGATCTAGTATTTTTATTTCTTTTCATGTTAGAGGATTATCTCTAAAACATATCCTAAATAATCTAAATAAGAACTTAATTAATTTTTTATTTTTATTTTTATTAAATAAAAATATTATTGGAATATACAACCGATATATCCACTAGGCACTATTAAATCACATTCAGGCTTCAAATATTAGATTACATTCGTTTCTGTTCATAAATACAATCATATAAAACTCTAACTGAATATTAATTATATTCATTTCTTGTGATTTTATAGTGGATCAGATTTATATGCCTATTATGTTGACAGTTTGCCTTTCCACTTTACATGGACAGGATGTTTCAAAACAAAATTGGTAATTTGCCGACTCTTAATTTTTTTTTTTTTTAATCGTGGCAAGAAATCGCCAAAGCCAAACCGCATCTACACGCCAAAAAAAAATAAAAAGCAATCTCACTAATATATCCACTAGGCACTACTAAATCAGAAGAAATTTTAATGATGTGTAAGTCTCACTCACAGCAAAGAAGCTAAGAAAATTTTGAACCAACGTGAAGAAATTCAAATTAGATTATATCTATGTTTAAACGTGTTTCTCAGTCTCAAATTGATACGTTTTTTTTAATTTTGTTGTATTTTCGATTTTTAGTACACCAAATTTTTGCTTAATCTAAATTTACGGAGTAGAATGTTAAATTAACCAATCACAAAGTAAAAATAAATGCAAGTAGTAAAGTTTGAGAGACAACTAATTTTAGTGAAGAAACCTAGTCCAAGAAATCATTAAATAATTCAAGAAATCTCTGAGATTGCCACGGAGTTTTGAGCGAAACAATCAACTATATTTGAAGTAAAATATAATAGACTTTGACTTAGACTCACATCTTTTCGCTCTACCAAGAACCAATTGCTGACCTTCTTCAGTTCTGCGATTCTCCCATCCAATAACTCTCGACTTGAGACTTAACCTTGACTTTTGCAAAAGGATTGTTGGTAGATCAAACAACACTCCGCGAATTCTTTGACTCTTTTAAAGTGCGATCGCTCCCTCATTTTCTTCAAATCTGATTTTGATTTTTTTTCTCTCGTTCAACATCCTAAATCACTCATGTATATATAGTATGTATGTCTCAATATGAAAATAAACACTCATAAAATTTTCACAAATTGGTTCTATGAATTATATTCAAAAGCGGTAGAAAACCCTCAGTGGTAAAAGGTATTTATATAGATTTTTTGAAGACCTAAACTGTTTCTTTTGGTAAATAAGACATAAACTTACTTGGAAAAAGAGTTTAATTCCAGTCTAATTATCTCAAAAATAAATAAATAAATATATATATATATATATGATAAAAAGTAACCTATATAGAGTAGGAAAATAATTTTTAATTTGGTTTCAAGATAGGCGTAACCGGTTTCACTTTGATAATGTCTAATATTTCAAAAACAAATTTTGAAAAACAAGTACCAAATGGGTTCTGTTTTTGCAATGCACTTTTGTAAAACTATTTTCAAAACTTGTTTTAATTGCCTAACCTAAAACTTAACAAAGATGAAAAAAAAGTGTCCTCACTCACTTACTTGTCTAATATGTGTTATTATGGAACTGGAGTATTTTCACACAATCCTCAATATTAAAAGATTAAACTAGAAGTACAACTATGACTGAACTTATTTTGACGCCCAATATTACCAATTACAAAGTTATTTCTCACAAAAAAAAATTTAATTGAAATGACTCGAACTAAATTTCACCAGTAGACAAAAAATTAAGTTATGCCGATTGCCCAATAATACCAATAAAAATATTCAGGACTTGGATAAATATAAAAATTATTAAAATGAAGATCATTTACTCAGAATATAAACCAACTTTAAAAACGAAAACGAAAAAGATAATATGAATGTCAAAATATTTTACCCCCAATCATAATCATCATGTATATAGAAGAGCGAACTCATTGTAAGGTTTTATTAGTATGGGATCCAAGATAGAGACCGAAATTGACATTGATATTCTAAGAAAACGTGTAACATGAGATCAAAGATTCCATAATAATTGTTGGTTAACGATTCGCTGATCTGATATTCGGATCAACTACTTTTTTTCAATTATTATTATTATTTTTTTTGCAGCTAACTTTTTCCAAGTGGTATGAATTACTAATTTTTCCTACTTTAATGTATTATGGCCCAGACTTTTGAATATTTCTATGCGCTGGTCCCCAAACCTAAATGTTAAAATGACGAATGTAACGTGACGTGAATCAGGAACCGTATAAAAGCAATATCTCCACTACTTTTTTCGTCTTCTTTTTCCAAAGAGAGAGAAAATGAAATTTTATGAGAGAAAATGAAATTTTATGTGTCCATAAAATAGATGTGACTTATAGGTAAAACAAAAAAAAACCAAAGGTGTAACATACTAACATGACAGTTTTGTATTTAACAAGTTTATTTTTTTCTTACTTTTCAAAAAAAAAAAGGTTTATTTTTTTCTTTCTTTTCTTCAATATTTGAATATAGAAATGAATGCATGCATGTCTTGACAAATAGCCGTAATAATATCATTTTTTTATTATGATGAAATAATCAAACAATTATAAAACGTGTTACACAAATGGAAAGCAACAATTAAAACGTTACACGTGTCCAATTTGCATTCTAGTGATTGGTTTAGTTTTGGTGTTGGAATTATCAATGGCGTCGTGGCGACGGATCAGTGAAAATCGCTATAATCTGTTTTCTAGTAGTCTTCGTCGTCCCTCCATAAAGTAAGTCTTGGGACCATGTTGAATATGATGAATCTGTCGTTTGGAGAAAAAAGTTTGATAAAGTTGCTTTTTAATTTTTTATTTCAATCTTATCTTGTTGTGTCTGATCAGAAAATGCCAGACAGAGAGAGTCTGTCCAGTGAGAGAGAGAGAGCTTGGTCTTTTGTAGGAACACTAGGATCACATTATTTTCCAATGTGATCCTACAAAAGGAAAAAATGAAATTAAAATGTACCAATTTCTCATGAAACTATCTGTCATGAGATAATTTTCTCCGGGTGTGTACTATTTTTCAATCATCTATGGTATTATGTTTATCCTTGTCAATGTTATCCTACAAAGTGAAAAAAAAAAAAAAAAAAAAAAAAAAAAAAAAAAGTACTAAAATAAGATAATTTTTTTTGAAAATATTCGAACTAGTGATGGAGCTAATGAAGGCCTAGGGGGACACGTGCCCCTGGCCTGGCCCCGCCCTTTATAATATTTGTGCTAATATATATATATATATATAATTTTTCATATATATGAAAATTTTTATACAATGTGCCCTCTTAAATTTTGTGGTTTCTAAAATTATTTTTTTATTTTCTCTTTTACTCTTTAAATTCCCTAAATTTCCTTAGAAAAGGTTAATTTTTTCTTACTCAATTGAAACTCTTAGCCCCCAGGGGCTTGGATGAGTTGGTAAGGTGAGGGCTTTGGCTATCACTCGCCAAGGTTCGAGCCTTTCCACCTCCTTTATTACTCTCGACTTACCTTGCTGTTTACAATGCGAGGCCGGCAACGGTAGTTTTACCTGATAGCTACAAGTCCAAAGGGCAAGTGGTTGTGAGGGTTCCCAATATATATATATATATATATATATATATATATATATATATTGAAACTCTTAACTTTTTCCTTTTAAAGTTTCCTCATTTGCTTTCCTTTTTCCTTTTCTACTTATACTTCTTAAAATTCTTTTTTTTCTTTTTTTAACATGTATATTTGAATAATTTTCTACTTCTTCTTCTTCTTTTGTATTTTATATTTGTTATGTTATATATATATAAACAATACGTAGATTCTCACTAATGAGAATTTATAATATCTTAAACATATCAAAAAAATAAAGAAAGAGAAAATAATCCAGATCCTACCTGAATAAAATTGTAATGACCCAGTCATTTCTGTCATTTCCTTTTTCTCAAATTTTATGAATATTGTTTTTTCCGTTGAT